CAAACCTGGGTGCCTCAAATGTTTCCAGTCTCTGATTCAGTGTTGAAAGCAAAACGTTGGCTGCATCTAGACTGATACTTTTTTGGATGTGTTTCCACCATATGTTTTAGTTCAAGACAATATTTTCTTTTTATGTTGTATTATAAAAATCATGTAAAATGTTCTTTTGGAGAATGGCTACTATTCCTCTCCTCTTGCTAATTAGAAGATCACAGTACAAGGAATCTGACATCGTTTCATAAAATAGTATGTGGAAGAAGCAAAGCACTAAACTGGAATAGAAAAGTGTCACCAGTAATTTCTAGCATCACTCAGAAACAATAGCCTGCCATTGTGATAGTGAAATGAAGCAGCCATGATGACATTAAGTTAAATAAATATATTGCAAGCTAAGATCAGTATTTATGTTGCTCTCTTTTACTAGGTATGATTGCAGTTTATTTCCAAGAAGGGTAAAACACATTTCCCCAAAAACATTAGAAGTTTTATTTTGAAAGCTTCTTTGGCAATGGACCTCTTGAGAAAGTTGGGCCCACATAGACACCTCCCCACATGTGGTTCAGCTACTGCCTTTGCACTTCTGATGTAGGAATGGATCAGTCTTTTTTCAGTGTGTATTTGTAAGTCTGTTCTGCCCTGTCTCAGCCCCAATCTGTTTTACACACACACACACACACACACACACACACACACACACACTACAATTCACAGTATTTTGGTATACATTTTCCCCAAAGCACATGGGGTTTGTATGCATTTAAACAAAAATACGCATTCTTGTATGCATGTGTGTTGAGCGTGTTTGTAGAATCTAAATGAATCAGCCCAAGATTTATTTATTTTTAATGAAACTTTTGTTTGTTTATTTTGCCAGACTTACAAAAAATGGCAGAGTTGCTCTCCTGTTTGCATGCTATTGCCCGTGGCCATACTGTCCCAAACAAGCCGAATGCCATCTTGCGGTTTATGTTTTCAGTGAGACTTTTTATGAAATGTCTTTTTAAAACTATCAATTATACGCCAGTATAATGGAACTGATCGTGTGATGACTTTGCTAGAGGGAATTGTGACTCACATCCTCATTAGAACAGGAAGCTTGCCAAGTGTAAGGATACACAAATTTGTCAGGCCCATGTTTTATATTTTTAGGTGCAGACTTAAAACATCTTTAAACACACACACACACACACACACACACACACACACAGATGTGAAGTGGCTCCAGAAGGGTAAAGAATCATGAAAGAAACAAAGGATAAAGCAATAGTTTTAGAGGGACTTCCCTGGGAAGAGGCACTCACAAATGCTGTTTTAGTCATAGGAATCTGGTTTAATGAATTGGTTACCAAGTCAAAATCATCCAAAGGACTTCTACTGTGAAAATTATTTTGGGGTTCATCACTGAGGAAGGCAGAAGATCTGCTGAGAACATGCAGGATATAATTGTAAATAGCCTATTTTTCAAAATGCCATACTTAAGGCTTTATTGAAACCACCCTATGTACACTATGTGCATGCATATTTTTGGTTTTGAATCAGGCACATGGAATACTTCTGCTTTTAACTCATCTGCAAGGTTTGCAGGAAAATTGCTGCATGCCTGAGGGAACATGTTGCAATTAGAGTTGATCAAAATTGCAGTTCGTGGAAAGAAACATAAATAGGAGGTGACATTTTAGGAGTTTTGTGGCGGAAAGCACGTCAGTAAACACAAAGGATATAGAGAAAGAGAGCTAAGCAATGCAGTCATTTCCTAGGCAAGCGCTATGCCTTTGCTATTAATTGATAAAGCACAGAAACATCTGAGTCTTCTCCCCTGTTCACTGATGTCAGTGACTAAAGTTCCAGTTCTCTCCTTGTCATCTAGGTTGAGCCCTAACTTTGGGACTACAGTGGTACCTCGAGTTACAAATGCCTCAGGTTACAAACACTTCAGGTTACAAACTCCGCTAACCTGGAAGAGTTACTTGAGTTGAGAACTTTGCCCCAGGATGAGAACGGCGCAGCGGCAGCAAGAGCACACCTCTAATTAAGAAAGCACACCTCTAGTTAAGAACAGTCTCAGTTTAAGAACAGACCTCCGGAATGAATTACCGTATTTTTCGCCCTATAGGACGCACTTTTTCCCCTCCAAAAATGTGTGTCCTATGGGGCGAATGCGCACTGACCCCTCTCGCTCTCCAGGCTTCAGGAAGCTATCCGCAAGCCTTGGGAGCCCGCGGGAGTTCCCGCCGGGCTCCCTAGGCTTGCGGATAGCAGCCTGCATCCCGAAGCCTGGGGCGCACTGGGGCGGGTTCTCCCAAGGCTTGCGGATAGCAGCCTGTTCTGGGGGCTGGGGTCGGGGGAAGCCTGGGGGGGAAATAATATTTTTTTCTTTATTCCCCCCCCTAAAAAAAACTAGGTGCACCCTATGGGCCGGTGCGCCCTATAGGGCGAAAAATACAATAAGTTCGTAACTAGAGGTACCACTGTACGTTAATTTTATTTTTGATAACTGTTACAGAAATTAGCGTCCTTTGAGTGGTCCACAGAAGCATGATTTGCAGACTAATTCTCACACCATAGTGTTCATTCATAATGTATGCCAACAGTTGTCATACTGTGCAGACATGTCACAGATCACTTTTCAGTCACAGCACTCCATTGTATTTAAGATGTGCGTTTTCCTCTAATGCTAGCCACGCCCATCAACAGATAATGAAACCCGGCATGTGTTAAATGTATCACTTGGTAGTTACCAGGTAAACTGATTGTCTGAAGATGGCCTCCTCTCTGAAAATCAGACACTAGGTATTCTTGCTTTCAGCAAGATATTATTAGCATGTTGTGGATCGGGAAGGAATTCTTGCGTAAACAGATTTCCTGGTGATTATGGGGGTTTTTGTCTTAAGGAAAGATAAAAGCTCCAGAACCTCCAGGCATCTGCTTATATAAAAATTCCTTCCCAAGCCACAATGTGGCAATATTTCCCTTGAGGCTGAGAGCAAGAACGTTCAGTTGGTGTATAAACCAAGTGCACTGGAATAGACAGGCCCAGTTTGTCTATAGAGCAAGTGGAATATTTGATTGAACTCTCAGCCTGTGGCAGAACTGTGTGATCATTTGCTGGTGCCCCATGCTCTATAACACTATCCCGAAATGCTGCTCTTTTAGCAATATACAATGACTTCTCTGCTGAGTGTGTTGGCCTTGTCTGTGAACTCAGCTAGGTGTGGCAATTTAGGTGCTACACCCTGGTAACAGACTCTAATTTTATTTTATTTATTAAATTTATATAAATGCACCGTGTCTTTTAATTACCGTATTTTTTGCTCTATAAGACGCACTTTTTCACTCCTAAAAAGTAAGGGGAAATGTGTGTGCGTCTTATGGAGTGAATGCAGGCTGCGCAGCTATCCCAGAAGCCAGAACAGCAAGAGGCGTCGCTGCTTTCGCTGTGCAGCGATCCTTCTGGCTGTTCTGGCTTCTGGGATAGCAACGCAAAGCCTCTTCAGGGCAGCGGGATGAACGATCCCTCTTGCTGTTCTGGCTTCTGGGATTCAGAATATTTTTTTTCTTGTTTTTCTCCTCCCAAAGCTATGTGCGCCTTATGGTCTGGTGCGTCTTATAGAGCGAAAAATACGGTATATGGGCAAGTCTGCAAAGGGTGCTTTGGATTAAGGCAAAATCCTGCTTTTTCTCTTCTGAGTTGGTGTAGTGGCTGACCATGTTACAGAATCCTACCTTGGGAGTTATGTGATTCTGTGGATTTTGTGCTTTATATGTAGAAACCTAGTATTTTTTATTATTATTTTTAAATGGAATTCAAGCAAGAAAATGAAATGTTTTTACAAGTTACATTGAGAGGTCAGAGGGTGAGGGGTGACTGGCAAGATGCTTATTCAGTGCATTAGTCTAACACAAATACTTCCTGAAGTATGAAATGCTTTGATCTGCATTAGCATGTACCATATGTGTGCAGCTGTGATCCGTGTTTCCCAACCACTGGAAGGTTAGTGAAAGGTAGACTATAGGTCTTAAGTCTGTGTTCAATTTCTGCTTTTATATTCAGCAGTTCATAATTTTATGTAATACTGGAGCTGTATGAAAAATATGCACAAGGGCTGAGTGATAACAGATTTTTTTGTGGTTTGATTCAGTGTTGTTTGGGTGGATTCAAAATACTCAGGGCTGCAGGCTGAGAAGAAAAAGGGTTTTAATTAAGGCTATGTGACTTCAAAATACCCGAGGCTACATTAAAAGTTTGGGAAGCTTTTCAAAATGTGAGGTTCTGTGTAGCTCCTTTAAGATAAATGTTTAAGCAGTTGTGTCACAGGCTAGCTGCCGCAAAATTGCAACAGAGACCGGGAACAACCTTTTATTGGTGGAGAGCATAGATTTTAAGTAGGCATACTGCCATGTGGTTGATTCTGTACTAAGAGTATTTCCATGGGCAGCGGGGGGCGGGGAGCAGGATTTGGCTGATCACACCGTAAAAGAAAAATTGGGCTGTTGGTTGTCAGAAAATTGATGACAGGCCACAGTTTTTAAAAGAATTTATCTGAAATCACAACCCTGAATGTTTGCACCTGCAAAACCGGGTAATATTTTTTCCATAGACTGTATAACATCAAGTTTTAGGGAAATTCACCAATGCAGTGGTTGGCAATTCCTATCCTAAGCATCTATGAGCTTAAAGGTTTTAGGTTTCTGCTGAAAAGAACAGTCCCATCTTGAATTCCCACCCCCACCCTCTAACATTTAACACAATGTAACATAATGCGTTATAAGTCACTTGGAGACATTGGGTAGCAAGCAACTAACAAGTCTAATACAATAGTAATAATAATCAAATAATAATTAATAGCAGACTTACTCTTCCTGTTTCCTCATATTTCTCCATCTCCACCAGCCAGTGATGTGGAGCTGGGGCAGAGCAGCATTTTAGTGTCAGCCTTTTGTTGAGCCTCACATCTCATTTCTGCCCTTATGGGCACTCCACATACTACTGAGCTTTTGCCTACACGGCAATTAATGCCCATGCAGATGTGAGTTGTTTTCTGATATGGGTAGACAGAATTTGACAGCCCCTTTCTGTACTGGCTACCCCATCTGTGTGCCTTCAGCAGAAAATAACATGTCACGATACATGCATAACAAAATAGTTTTCCTAAGTGGAAATTTATCTCCACTTAGGAAAAAGTGATACATGGCATGGCAATAAAATTCAGCTGTTGGAAGACTCTGACCCTGGAATCAGTTTTATCTTTATGAATAATTTTGTGGAACAAACATATGAGCAGTCACACTGGGTCATGCTAATGAATTATCTCGCCCCAAATCCATTCTTCGACCAGTGACAATATCTGGATGCTTCAATCATGACATTTAATGAGGGTGGTCACTCTTTGCTTCAAACAACCTTTCTGAGAAAAAGCCTGTGTTTTCTGCCTAACAACCATTGATATGCTTATCTTAAATACATCTGTTTAGCCCTTTTTGGAACTCTGTTATCCTTTTGGCCACTTTTCATTCTGTGGATGGATTCTTTTGAGAATCCAGCCTTGAAAACTCCGTTCCAGAGCTGCAGAACATATGGCTATTTTCATTCATTACTGGATATGTTTCTCTAGGCATGTTATTTTAAAATAATTTATTTTCGGTATAATGGTTTTGGTTTGGAGCTCCTTCTCATTTCATTTTTCTTTCTCTTGCATGTTGTTATTTTTTAACAAGCTTCTGCTGGGTATGGCAGGCTCCACGGACGAAACGCTTCAGGAAGCAGCAGCTGGTTGCATAGCAAACATCCGAAGGCTGGCTCTAGCTACAGAGAAAGCAAAGTACGGCTGAAACTCCAAACACAGTTTTCACCACGTCCTCTGAACTTTCCTTTTTAGTGCTGCAGCCTGCAAGCTCAGAGTGGGCAGACACTGGATTAGAATGCCTCAGAAATGTGCATTTGGGTTATTTTTACGGCTGATTTACATCTGATCAGAATTAACACAAGAAGTAGATAGGGAACAAAATTTGGAAAAATCCCTTAATTTAATTTACCATACTATTTTTTCAGTCCCTCTTTTAGTCCTTTTTTTTTTTTTACTTTATCTAAAGTTGCACCAAAAAATGTAAGTTTAAGAACATTGTCTCTCCACATCTCTCTGTGTGTGTGCATGCGTGTGATGGGCATATAATAAAGATGTTTTCCCTTACTGTGTGTGGTTGTAGCCTCATTCCTGGGCGTCTCAAGCAATTCTTTTCTTGCTAAACCTGTCTAATCATTCTGTCATTATGGCTTTGCTTGTTTGAGTACTTACAAATCTCCAGAGAGGACGGCATACACCACATGCCCCCAGCTTCACATCTGGAAATGCACAAGTACTTCAAACAGACGGAATTGTCCACATGCTTCCAAGACTTCCCCAAATATCACTTTAGTTCTAGCGGCGCTAAAGAAATCACTTAATTGGATTAGAGTCACGTTATGAACATGATTAGAAGATCAAGTGTTAAAACTCCCAACTAGAGTCACTAAATGAGAAGAATACAACAAACAAGTATTTTAGGCTTTCCCGTTGGAACTCTCTCGTCATTTCCCTCTTCTGACTTAAAGCACATCTACAGTACAAATGCACCCTGTGTTATTTTACCACTCTATCATGGCTTCCCCCCAAAGTACCATGGGAAGCAGAGAGAATCTTTAGAATTCTTTCTTGAAAATCCCTAGTTCTCCCCGCAGTTTCCAGAACTGCTTCAGGTGAGTGGTTGTTAGACACTTTGTCTGTGTTGTAGATATGCCCAAAGTCTGTGTTCCTGATATGGCGCCTGTTGATGTAGGACAGGGACTGTGCTATTTTTATTCACTTGTAAGCCTCTCTGGGAGCAATCTGCATCGCCATGGACACTGAGAGCCCCAGTAGGCAATAGCATTATCCTACATATTGCATGGGATAATAAACCATAAATAACCTTATAAAGCAATCTCTGCTGCTTCCATTTTTATTTTTTTCATAAACTAAAACGTTCTTTTTGGATTGTTATCAGAATACTTACAGGATTCTGCACTCCTTTCCAGGGCCGGCCCTACCATTTCACGGCATGAGGCAGCCCACCTCAGACTACAGATCTTTGGAGTACCTTTAAGGGGACAGAGTTCATTACTCAGTTTATTATTTGACTATCATCAGTGGGGACACCATTTTTATTTTCTGTCTAATGGCATCAAAACGTATTGGAACAGTTCTGTTCTCTGATTTTTCTTTAAGTGTATTTTTCAAATCTAAATTCTAGTTGGCAGGTGGTTGGCAACATTCATTTTATTCTCAAGAGTTGAGGCTTTCAGAATGCGTTTGGTATCTTTTCCAATTTGCTTGGGTCAGTTTCTTGGTGAGTGTAAATCAACAAAACCCCAGTAGATGTCAAAACCACTAAGCCTTCTTTCATTAAGAAGCTGGGGGTGGGGGGTGGGATATCTTTACCATTCACAAAACCATTCTCCTAGGGAAATACTATAGCACTTTAGGAAGAGAGCTAACAGAGAGGACTTTCCCTCCTTTGAACTGAAGAGAAATACTTGAGCTTTCACCACAAATGTCTGTCAGCAGACAAGAAAGCCTTTCTTTTATCACTTCCTGCTTGTATGATTTATTACTTGATGACAGACACTCATTATCAACTAATCAATTGTCCCAGGATGCTCAAATAGGCACTGAAATGTGAGCTTTATATTCATTTCCCCTTAAAGTTCAAGCGTATGAAAATATGTTATGACCCACTTACACACTGTTTTATCTTTCTCTTGTTAAGGAAATATCAGATGTGTATGTATACTAACCATTTTAACATTTCATCTTTCTTTATCTCAGGAAATAGGGTCCTTGAATAGAAATTCAGACATCCTCACGGCCGTGTGGTAGGTTTAAAAGCACTAGTATGTGTAGGTGATCTAAATAGAAGCAGCAGTAAAGAAACTGGTTTCCTCTTTTTTTTTTTTTTTATGACTGCACAATTATCAAAATGATAGGCATCTGCCAATGGGTATCACAACAATGATGGCTGATTCTCACATGCCTGCACATCACACCTCATTGCTTCATTACTGTATCATGGCTGAACACGTGTGAACAGGAGCGGACTTTGGTTTTTCAGATTTCAGTGGCGCCCTGTGCGAGGCCAAAATTCCCCAATCCACCTCTTGATTTCTATTTTGTTCAGTTCACTACGTCATACTTGCAGTGCCCTGATCCAGTGCAGCAGAGCTGGATGGGCTGCCCTAAATTCGCCTCTGATGTGAACTGTGTCCATTGATCCTGTGTTTTGGGTGAGGTGAGAGGAAATGAATTAAAAGCTCTGCCTGTGGTACTTTATATGTGATGCACAAATCAATCTGTGTAATGAGGTCATTTGTGGAGGTTTGCCTTAGGGTAGCCCCCCATAATCTGATAAGAGGTGTGGGAAGATGAGAGAGAGAGAGAGAGAGAGAGAGAGAGAGAGAAGGCCTCCTTTGTTGTCCCACCTTTAATATTCCTCTCTCCTGGAGGCCTATTATGTTATTTTTCCTGTTCCAACTAAGACACTTTTTGTTTCACAAAGCCTTTTAAAAAGCTGCTACTCAAATGCTGCTCTTAAATTGATGATTCATTATTATTTTTGCAACTAATGCTTTTTTAAAAAAATGACATTATGTTTTGTAAACTGCCCTGGGAACTTTATGTTGAAAGTGTGGCATAGATGAGGCAATTCTTGATATTATAATCATTAATCAATCAAGACCACTAGACTACCCCTCAACATTTCAGTAAGCCAGAGAGAGAGAGAGAGAGAGAGAGAGAGAGAGAGAGAGAGAGAGTCTATATGTATTTGTCTATTCCTTGCTTATTCCGCCCTGCCTCTGCCTACACCTTCTGTTCTGTCTGCCTCACTGGCTATTTCTGCTGCTCTTTCTTTCTGGTTCAAGGGTGCTTTCCTACTGCCTTTGCTGTCTGCAGGCATTTCAACTCCCTTGGTTTCCCCACTCCTACCAATATAATCTCCTGAAAAGCGCAAACCCCTTTTTCACTTCAATTAAGCTCTTTGTCTTTCAAATAACAGAAATAGTAGTTAGGGTGACATCATGTCACATCTCTTGCCAACCGTGGTGGCAATCCTGAAGCCGCTTGCCCCAGCCCAGCTCAACATTTCTGCGCTGGCTGTTTTCATAGTTGACTTCCAAGATTTGGAAAGCAAACTGCTCCCCAGCCGAAAAGCTGCGGTCTCCTTGTCTGTCATCTCTTAAGCTTTTCTGCACACTCCCCTGGATTCGGGAATAGCAGAGCGGGAGAGAGATTGTGTGGCTCAGCCACACTTATGGCTCAGACAGCCCAACCCCACTCTAGGGCTTTGGTGACCTGCCTTTTACCTTTCAAGGGCCAAACCCTAGGTTAGCCTCATTACACACATACACACACTTTAAAAAATAACCCCCCCAAACCCCTTGTGGAATTAGGCCAGGAGAATTTTTTGGCCCAAACCTAGCAGACTAACGGGAATCATTTCTGTTGTCATTCCTCCGGCACTGTATAGAATTTCTCACCAAGAAGAAAGATAAAGACTCACCAATTATATTTTACAGCTCTGGCTAGGCTATAATGTTCTACACCACTCAGCACTGTGCCGTTCTTATCAAGATGCTGAAGGCAGCATACTAGCACTTCTCCTAGAAGGAATCTGTCTGTTCCATTTTAATAGGCTACTCTTAACAAGCTGATTCCGCCCCCCCCCCCAGTCACCTTCACTTTTTAATCAAACCCTATCTTAAAGCTTGATGGGTCAGAACAGATGCCTATTTTATGTAAGCGAGGGAGCCTTGTGGGTTACGCTCTGTGTTAGTATTTGTTCTAGTTTTACTTCTTTGTTCTGTGCCAGACACCCTTTTGCTAGACAGTTCCTTGCCAGCTCCTGCTGTTATTTTTGGCAACACAGATGTTTTATCCAAATTTACATGAAATACAAGTAACTTGTGTGTTTCATCTTTTCTGTGTGTTTTTTTAAAAACAAAAACAAGAGAAAACAAAGACTGTAGTCAATTGTACAAATCTCCTTCTTCTCCAAAGGTCCCAGGAATCCCGCACATGAGAGTTCTGCATCAGGTAACAGATTTCTTAATCTTAGGTTGTTCCTAGAAGAGCCTTATGAAGAAAGCTTTGCACTCAAAGGAAGCATAATTAATGGATGCACGGCGAGAGGGGCAGTTAGTCCACATGACCTTTTTTTGAGATGGAAAAGTCACCACAAGGTGACCCAGTATCTGCATTCAAAAGTGGATTTGTGAAAGCGACTTATTTTATTAAGCAAGTTTAGTAAGCAAACACTTTCTGCATCGGATCTGCATGGGGGGTGGGTCACCCAGTGTGGAAAAAGCTTTGGCCTTCTCAGGCAAGGTCTGCTTGGCACACCAGCTCTGGCGGTGCTATGTTAAGTATAATTGCTTAATTGGCAGTGAAGTGGAGAATGCATATGTGTATTGCTGAAAGGGTTTAACTGGGAGATGTCATTGAAGCTAAAGAGGAGTTTGGATTTGATATCCCGCTTTATCACTACCCGAAGGAGTCTCAAAGTGGCTAACATTCTCCTTTCCCTTCCTCTCCCACAACACACACACTGTGAGGTGAGTGGGGCTGAGAGACTTCAGAAAAGTGTGACTAGCCCAAGGTCACCCAGCAGCTGCATGTGGAGGAGCGGAGATGCGAACCCGGTTCCCCAGATTACGAGACTAGCCCAAGGTCTTAACCACTACACCACACTGGCTCTCACCAGTGAGAAAAACAATAGGTGTTCTCTAAACTCCTAGGCAGGTTGATAATCAACTGTTATTGTTCTCTGGTATCTCTGATGAGGTATTTAACTTTAGGTCACATGGGAGGCTATTAAATTGCAAGTTCACCATCTTGGAAGGGTAGTGGGTTAGAGTCTTTGATCCAAGGCTCAGTGGAAGTAGGATGTAAATAATGAAGTTCTTCAGGAGCACACGGCCTCAGGCTGTGGAGGAGTCTGGGACAGGGGAGAGATAGAGTTTTGATCTCAATCCTGTTTAAAGTTCTTTTCAAGAATTTGTTGGATGCATCTTTGATGTTATTGTTCTGTTTTGAAGAAAGTTCTGCCAATAAAGTTGTGAATAAACTGCAGTCATTAAGATTTGAATTTGGCCACCGCTGCAATCAGGTAACTCGTGCAAAGGGGGATCCAAGATATAGATATGATGGTTGAATCTGCACAGAGTTCTCTGGTAGCTGGCTTCTACTAATGTGGTCACTGGCCCATGTGAACCACTAAAGGCATCTTTGCAGGCACCTCATGGCTCCCCTTCAATGGCATAAATTGAGCTCTCATTGCTATGGTGCTGCCCAGTGGTAGTGGTAACCAAGGATCAAAGCATAGGCCATCCTACAGGGTAGCCAGTCCCAGTCCGCTGAGGCCACAAGAGTAAATTCAGCAGTGCCTTTCCGACAATGTGTCTTAATTCAGTTTTCTAGAGGAGAAAGTCTGAAAATTCATGGCAGCAGCAGTAGTGTGGTCCAGATCCTAGTTGCATGTGCATGTGAGCATTTTTAATTTCCCATCTAGTTTTCCAACCCTTAAAATGTGGAGTCTGGGTCTTGCCTCCTGTCGGCTACCTGCCCACCCCCATTTTACAGCAAAAGTCATTTTAATGTTAGAAGTCAGCAGATGGGATGCAAACAACTAGCTCTAAAGTATCGTTCAGCTGGCGTGAAAACGATTCAACTGCAGAAGTGTTACATATATAATGAATGGACCCTCAGGCTGCCACTGCTCCTTCTGCATCTAATAGAAAAATAGTGTACGGCAGAGAATGTGTTCATTGTCCATTTCAATCAGTCCAATATCCTCTTACTTATGAGTTTCCTAAGTTGCTGTTATGGTACTGTTTCCATTTTAATTCCTCAAAGGACAATTCACTTTTGTGTTATCCTCACCCTGTTGGGGAACACAAACATGAGAGGGGAGGGAAATGATGTTTGTAGATATTCTTTCCTAGTATTTACACAGGAACCTGGCCTCAAACACTTGGGCAGCTTTGAATCACAGAATTAAAGAACTGTAGAGTTGGAAGGGACCCTGAGAGTCATCTAGTTCAACCCCCTGCAATGCAGGAATCTCTAGTAAAAGCATCCATGACAGATGGCCATCCAACCGCTGTTTTAAAAGCTCCAAGGAAGTTTGTTAGGGGTAAACTACAGATCCCAAGATTCTATGGGAGGGTGCTTTAAAGGTGTGCTGTATACACAGCCTAGTTGAGGGAACTGGGTACAGTATGTTTAGCCTGGTAAAGAAGAGGCTGAGAGGAGATATGATAGCCATCTTCAAATATCTAAAGGCCTGTCATATGGAGGATGGAGTAAGCTTGTTTCCTTCTGCTCTGTAGATTAGGACCAGTACCAACGGCTTCAAATCACAAGAAAGGAGATTCCAACTAAACATCAGGAAGAACTTTCTGACAGTAAGAGCTGTTTGACAGTGGAATGGACTCCCTTGGAAGCTGGTAGACTCTCCTTCCTTGGAGCTTTTTTGGGAGATGCCAGGGATTGAACCCGGAACGTGGGCAAAGCAGATGCTCGCAACTGAGCTATGGCTCTTTCCCACTGATGGTGGGCCAATGTTGTCCACCAAACCCGAGGACAGCAGGCTAGCTTAAAGTAGGGTTGCCATATTTCAGAAAGTGAAAATCTGGACAGAAAGGTTGGCAGAATTGTTGAGATATTTTTCAGTTCTGCCCAAAGTTGCTGAGTTTTTTGTTTTTTTTGTTTTTTTCTTTTTCTTTTTCTTTTTTTTTTTTTTGCAAAATCGCAAAAAATGAATGTTTTGGAGCTATTTCTGAGGAAATGCCATACAGGACATTTCCTTCTGCCGATTTCTGCCAGGACACTGCTTGTAGCTGCAGTA